TAAAGCCTCTATCAAGAAGCTCCTAGAAAAAATAGGCTTGTATAGTAAAGTCACAGGCTACAAAATCAATAGCCAAAATGGCAATCCTATTCACAATCATGTCTCAGAAAAGCAAGTATTTAGGATCAGTTTAACTAAGGAGGTAAAGGACCTGTACAAAGAAAACTACAAAACGCTACTTCAAGAAATAAAAGAGGATATAGCACAGCAGTAGGGCATTTTGCCTTACAAGCGGCCAACATGGCCGACCCGAGTTCTATTCCTCCGCCCCTCTCAGAGAGCCCGGCAAGCTACCGAGAGTATCTTGCCCGCACGGCAGAGCCTGGAAAGCTCCCCGTGACGTATTCGATATGCCAGACACAGTAACAACAAAGTCTCCAATGGAGACGTTACTGGGCCCACTTGAGCAAATCGATGATCAACGGGAGAGCCTTTATCTTTTATCTTATGAGAATATGGGAACACATCCCCTGCTCATGGCATGGGAGAATTAACATTGTCAAAATAGCAATATTCCCTGAAGCATTAAATAGATTCAGTGTGATCCCTATAAGGATACCCATGACATTTTTCAAAGAAATTTATCAAACACTCCTGAAATTCATATGGAACAATAAGCCCCCACGAATAGCTTAAGCAATTCTTGGGAGGGAAAGGATGGGAAGCATCACCTTTCCCAACTACAAAGTGGTAATAATGAAAACAGCATGGTCTTGTAATAAAAACAGATCTGCAGACCAATGGAATGGGGTTCAATATCCTTACACACACCCTCAATATATATGACCATTAAATCTTTGATAAGGGAGCAATAATTATGAAGTGGAGTTATGAAAGCTTCTTTAACAAGTGTTCTGGTAAAAGTGGATAGCTACACACAAAAAAGGGCTCAGACCTCTAACGGCATGCACAAAATTTAGTTCAAAATGTATTAAAGACCTCAACATCAGACCAGAATCCACAAGGTACACTAAAGAAAAAGTCAGAAAAAGCCTCAACAATAATGAAGCTAAAGGTATCTTCAAAGATGAAATGCCACTGACACGGCAAGTGCAAGCAAAGATAAATAAATGTGACTATTTTAAACTAAGAAGCTTCCACGGGTCAAAAGAAACAGTGTCCTGGATACAAAGACAACCTAGGGAATGGGAAAGGATATTCACCCAATACCATTCTGATAAGGGATTAATATCAATGATATACAAGACACTGAATGACCTCTACAAGAAAAATTATCCAATCCCATTAGAAAATGGGGCCATAAAATAAACAGAAACTTTCTCAAAGAAGAAATTCTAATGGCCAAAAAGCCATGAAAGAATGTTCTTCTTAAGGCGGCTCAGATAGAGAAGGGAGCACCAAATAATGGGTGTTGGGAAGATCCTCCCAGAATGGGAGAAACATGCTGAAAGTAGACTATAGACCAAACATGATTGCCACTCAATGCCTCTTTTGCAAACCTCAGCACCCAAAAGCAGAGGGAGAACAAAAGGGAATGCCTTGCCACAGAGGCAGAGTGGGATGGAGGGGATTGGGGGTAGGAGAGATACTGGGATCAGTGGTGATGGAAAATGGGCATTGGTGGAGGGATGGGTATTTGACCATTGTATAATTGAAACCCAAGCACAAAAATTTGTAAGTCTACAACTGTACCTAATGGTGTTTTACTAATAAATTTTTTTTTAAATGCTCTTCTTCACTGATCATCAGGGAGATGCAGACCAAAACAATAAGATACCATCTCGCACCACAGAGACTGGCACACATCTAAAAGAACAAGAGCAACCAGTAGTGGTATGGACTCTCCTTTATTGTTGGTGGGAATGCTGAGTGCTTCAGCCTTTTGGGAAAACAATATGGACATTTTTCAAAAAACTAGAAATAGAGCTTCCATACAATCCAGCAATACCACTTCTAGGAATATATCCTGGGGGTGCAAAAAAAAATCACAGTAGAAATGACATCTGTACTTGTATGTTCACTGCAGCAGTGTTCACAATAGCTAGAATCAGGAAACAACCTGAGTGCCTGAGAACTGACAACTGGTTAAGGAAACAGTGGTACATCTGTAGCACTGTAGCACTGTAGCACTGTCCTCCCGTTGTTCATCGATTTGCTTGAGTGGGCCCAGTGACATCTCCATTGTGAGACTTGTTACTGTGTTTGGCATATCAAATATGTCACGAGTAGCTTGCCAGGCTTTGCTGTGTGGGCGAGATACTCTCGGTAGCTTGCCAGGCTCTCTGAGAGGGGTGGAAGAATTGAACCTGGGCCAGCCTGGTCAGCCATGTGCAAGGCAAATGCCCTACCCTCTGTGCTATTGTTCCAGCCCAGTGGTATGTCTACATAATGGAATACTATATAGCTGTTAGGAGAGATGAAACCATGAAATCTGCTTATAAGTGGATGAACATGGAGAGTATCATGCTAAATCAAATGCGTCAAAAGGAAAGGGACAGTATGGAATGACTGTGTATGGAATCATTTGTGATAAATAAAAGTAATATATAGTAGAAGACTAATGTCCATGGGCAGAGAAAACAGGGGTTTGGTCAATGGTTAGAACTAACCACTAATATGTGTGGAGCTGAAGGTAGATAAGATAGAGAAGAGACCATAGCACAGAATGATCACATTGGATAAGATCTGAGTGTTAAAAGTAGGTAAAGAAATACTCTTGATAACCTTTTGATATCAAAATTGCAAACCACAATGCCCAAAAGGAAAAAGAGAGAGAGAGAGAGAAACAGAGACAGAGAGAGTAAGTGAGTGAGAAGAGAGAGAGAGAGAGAGAGAGAGAGAGAGAGAGAGAGAGAGAGAGAGAGAGAGAGAAAAGAAAAGTGCTTACCATAGAGGCAGGGGATGGGGGATGATGGGAGGAAACCTGGGGTCACTGGTGCCAGGAAATGTACACTGGTGGAGGGATGGGTGTTGGAATACTGTATGACTGAAATCTAATTATGAACAGCTTTGTAAGCATCTAAAATCACAGTGATTCTATTAAAAAGTAAAAAAAAGTGTGGGGGGATTAAACTTGTCTTACCTATCCTTCTATTTCTTTTATTTTTTACTGAGAAAGAAAAACTGTCGAAAAACTAGTAATGAAATGTAATTTCCTCTTCAGCTTTCTCCATGATCACTTCCTTGACTCTTATAACTTAGTCAAGTCATTCAAGATGCAGGCAGTTTCTGCACAAGACTGGACCCGTGTTTGTATGAGCCAGTTAGAAGCGACTCTGTGATAGGCTGCTGGAGTGTATCTGTGCTCACTGACAGAGTTACCTGGAAAATGTTAGGCATTTTCCGAAGTTTGTCTCTGATTCAACTAGAAATACTTTCTAGGGACATGCAAACCTCTCCATTGAGAAGTTATAGAAAGAAACTGCATCAGTTTAGACCCTTGAGTCTTTTCATAAAAGAATTAGGCTAAATGTTGCAGATCATCCATGAAGTGTTTCTTCATAGCGAAAGAGGAGTCTTTCTAGCACAAGTAAATGTAATAGTATATACACAGTTTTTAATCAATGAGGGGCAGAGATTGACGCAACAGGGGTGAGGCACTAGTTTTGAACAAGGGTGACCCTAGTTTGATCCCCAATACCACATATGGTACTCTGAGCACTACCAGGAGTGAACCCTGAGTACAAGCCAAGAGTAATCCCTTAGCCTTACTGGGAGTGGCCCAAGCCCTTCCCCCATCTAATCAACTAGTATGTTAATCATACTTAATTCTTCTTCCTGCATGAATTCCTGAACTCTCCCAAATCATATTTGGTTGGCCTCTTTACAGATTTTATATCCAAAAATATTTTATTATATCTATAATTTAATTTCTATTTTTTCACCCAGCACTTCTATCTTATATATAATATATAACTGTTTAATAGTACCCCATATCAAAAAAGTAATATACAGTATTTGTTTATGTGTACATGAATAATAATATAAAATCATAGGTATAAATAAGGTATTTATATAATCTATAATCTCAATATTTAAAATATAACATACCAGTATATAATATATATAGATTACAAATCTTAACTATAAATAAAATAAATATTTTATAAATGCCTAAATCTGAATCTCGGTACCTTTCTGTCAGAAGAAAACAACAAAACCAGGATAGACTTTAGTAACATAAACCCTAATTTTAGACAAGTGGAATAAACAGATCTGCTCCCACATGAAAGCTGCTTTCAACTGTCATCAAAGCCCCCTTTCTAAGCATGACTAGCTCATAAAATACTTACAAATAGATTTCCTTGCTTTGTTAATCCTACTTATCATCCATGGGAACTAATTTGACAGTGACATGACTAATACCCCTCTTTCAGTGAAACATTTCAGAAATCTCTTTCAAAGCCCTGTGAACCTAAAGAGCTAAATGGCAGCTTGCTAGTAGGTCTGGGCATATATTTAAGTAGGGGATGATATTAAACTCATTCTAACAATCCGTCTGTGTGACTAGAGTGTGGTCTGAAACCACTTTTGGAATAAGCCATCTTAAGAGAAAAACTTTTAAAAACTCAGTTAAAAATAACAGGATGGCAAAAACATTGGCAGTCTAAAGACCTGCCATTTTATTTTTACCATCAGCAACGTTGGCTGTGCCCAGGTAAAATGATAAAGAGGTGGGCCGGAGGGTGAGGAAGGGGAACATAAATGTAGCCATTTGACTTCATAATTAAAACAGCAAACTCCTTCTCAATCATGTGTAATGTTTGGTTTTTATTTTAGGCTCCAAGACTGCAAATGCTATTAGCAGCCAAGAGGCACATTAAGTTATTCAGTCCTTTTTAAAACCTTGTCAAACCCATCTATCTTCTAAATTTCTCATATCAACAGTTTCAAATGAATACATCTCTATCCACCTTCATTGTACTTCTTATGAGAGATTTACCTACAGAATGCAAAGAAGTCACATCACCATTTTTCCCGTTGCACCACAAAAAGCAAAACAAATATCAATATTGCATTTTTCAAAGGAATAAACTTACTTTCAGTGCAAATAGGACAGCATCCTTTTCTGTTGAGAATTTTACCCTAACGAGGAGAAAAACAAATAAGAAATGAGAGCTAAGAAACAGGGTCTGTTGAGGACAAATCTCCTTAAATCTAGTACCAGATAACCCAATGAAATCAGTCCAAGCTGTATTTGAACTCAAAGCCCAGATGGCAGTGATGATAGTGAAAATATATTTCAAGTATCAGGTTCTGAAGTCAGGCAAAATCATTTGAGAGCTTTTCTGTTTTTATTCTCCAAGAAATATAAAATCTTAAGGACTGATTGGTGTGATTATTTCTCACATGGAGAGAAGATGGAGAAAGTCTGGGCCCCACCTTTTCACAGATTCCCAAATCTAGCCCTCTAGATAAGAAGTATTCATATAAAAGTGGGAATTATTTCTTGACCTAGCAATTGAGTTCTGTCTTTGTTTTCTGGAAGAATGTAAGCAGTAAATTGTAGGGCCAAGAGATAATTTAGGGGTTAAGGTGCTTGTCTTATACAAGGCCAACACGAATTTGATCCCAAGCACTTCATATGCTCCCCTGAATTTTGCCAGGAGTGATCCCTGAGAGGAGAGCAAGGAGTAAGTCCTCTCCACTGCATCCCCTCACCACCACCCCTCCTCCAAATCAGTGAACTACAGCCAGGATTATGCCTCATCTGGGCCAGTGAATCTGGATACAATCTGTGCCACGAATCACATTCAGTCAGAAAGTGGTGAGCGGTCCTTGCTAAGTCACTTCTCTGCAGTTAGAGCAAATGAAGCTGTAGCTTTTGAAATGCCAAGTGATTTTTCATTACTTTTCTGGAAATACAGAATAATTTCCTACAGCGCAGTTCCTACATTGGCTTAATGTATGACATTTAAAGGAGGAAACACATTCTCAGAGCCTATATCAGAGAATGCTGTGGTCGTTCCCCTGACTTGATGGTTAACCGCAGAGAAAGAAAAATTCAGACAAAGATTAACATGAGGGAGTGTTTGTGACTGTAAGACATTCTACCCCCTATTTCCCTTATAGCATCTGACATCCGGTTAGAGACAGAATTGAGTAAGTTAATATTTAGAACACATTAGGCCTTGATTCATATAGTGAACAGTATTTTATACACTAAGCTGCAGATGAACTTTTTCAACTATATTTCTACAGTATAGATGAAGATATTAATGTCATAATGACAGTGGTAGACTAGAGCGATAGCACAGCGGGTAGGGCATTTGACTATACACCCGACCTGGGTTTAATTCCTCCATCCCTCTCGGAAAGCCCAGCAAGTTGCTGAGCGCATCCTGCCAGCACGGCAGAGCTTGAGAAGCAACCTCTGGCATATTCAATATGCCAAAAACAGTAACAATAAGTCTCACAATGGAGATGTTACTGGTGCCCGCTCGAGTAAATTGATGAACAACGGGATGACAGTGCTACAATGCTACATGACAGTGGTATGCTATCCACGTTAAGTTGCTGTGATGCAATTAAAGCCAGGAAATTCTGAGAATCAAAGCTGATTTTGTATAATCTTACAGGCCATGTTCTTTCAACATTAGATTCATATACTCATGTTTCCAAGAAATTAGTATTTATTGACTGTCTGCTATAGAATAGAAAGCACATTTTTCATATTTTCATATTTTATCTCATATAAGCAAGGGCAGGTATGATTACACCCATTTTAATAGGAAAGATCAGAGAGGTGACAAAGGCTGGAGACATGGCGGGGAGGCAACTGTCTTGTCACTCAGTTCATCTAGCTGTCAGTTATATCAAGACCATATTTAGGTCTCAAAAAGACAAAGGCATGATGATTTTTACAGTGCTGGTTAATAACTCAAGAATTAAATCCACATCTGGTTAATTTTAGTGTCAGAGTCTAAGTGTACATTCAAATTTATGAGGATTTTAAATGAGACTCTAAGATTCAGGGTTTTCATGCTATGGGACATCAGGGTATTTTCTCATCACCTGGAATTCTGTTACTTATTTCAACTTGCATACAGGTCTGCTTTGGCTTCTCGGGACTAAAAGCAGTTGAGAGTCAGGTAAAGAAAGTTGGCTCATGAGAGAGAATGATGGTCCCAGGGTCGGGGGTGAATAGGGTGCTTTGTCCTGGTGTAGTCTGGGTTGTTTAAAGTGAGCAGAAGAGTAATTGAGACTATAAAGGGGGTAAGGACAGAGAAGGGACCTGGGGGGTTAGATGGTTGCTGGCACAGTGTGGGGGAGCAGCACCGCAAGTGTAAACCAATGAGATGGGAAATTCTGTAAAACACACTGCTGCAATAAAAAAACCAATGGGGGAAATATTCAAATGAGATAAAGCAAGGCACCAGCAGATGCGGCTGTAGTATCCCCACATAGGCAGCTCAGGTGGAGCTGCTATGTCTCTCCCTGGGCAAAGGAATGCTGGGCTTTCAGTGGGCAGGAAATTCAGTGGCAAATAAGTCAAGCACTGGCAGTGAAGTCACTTCCGGGTTAGAGGTGTCCAGGTGAGGAAGCTGGATGCACTGTGACCATCATTAAGAAGGGCAACACCTCAGCAGGGTGGTCGGTCAGTAAACAGGGCTAGCCAAATACTCCAGGATGAGTCTCGGGACTCATTTTAGTGATGAGGAGAGGACAGTGCCATGACAACCCTGTCCACACTGGAACTCTCACAGCTCTCTCGTGATGGCACCCCTTTGCCTCTGGGGGAGTTGCTGGGAGAGTAAACAGGGAACAAACAGGAGCAAACAGAGAACAGGGAATACGATCACCAAATGACCCCTCAGGGAGGCACACTTAGTTCTGGAAAAAGAAAGGTGCTGTCACCAGGAAGGAATAGAGTCTTCTTTACAAAAATTTAAAAAAAAAAGAAGTATTTGTTCTGAATTTCCCCAAAGAATGCAGTGGGTTGGGAAGTAAGCTTTTACTAGAATTTCCATGACTCAACTAAGCTATCTCCCACAATCTTAGGCTGGCATGGCAGGAGAGACAATGGATATGGGGAAAACACCAGAATGATACCAGGAATCAGAAGGTGGACATGAGGCAGGAGCTGCGCACATGCCCACTCAGACATGACTGGGCAGGTGTGGAAAGGGACAGGTTGCAACCTGCAGAGAAGGAGACTCTGGTCCCAGGTGATCCTCAAACAACCACCAATGAGACCCTGGCAACACAAAGTCCTCAGCGAGGGGATCATGAGAACCATCAAGCCGGCCACAGTGGCAGGACTCTGGGGAGCTGGAGACTGCATGGCCTACTGGCCCACGGAGGCTTGTTACTTGAGCCACCAGCTTGGCACAGCATCCTGTTTTTGTCCTGAGAAGAGGGAGCCCATTATTACTAGCATGTGCGGCGAGAGTTCATTAGCCGTGAGGGCTCTCCCCCAGGACTGCCAGACATGATGGGCTCCCATTTTTCCCAATGAATATTTATAAGCAGACCGTGTTCAAGTCGACTTATTGTATCTCCTGCTTTTTTTTAAAAAAATGGGAGGTTTTCAGTTTTATGTCTGAGGCTTTTTAAAGCAAGACTAATTAGGGTTTTTCTTTCTCTTTTTTCTCCCTCCTCAACACCCCCCCCTTTATTCAGTTGTGCAATAGCAACAGCTGTTGTTTTTTTGTGCCTCATTTGGCACTCAAGTAAAAACAGCAACTTTTTTGTTTATAATAATAACAGATGTGAATAAAATTAAAAAGCTGTCTATAGCAGAGAAGGGAGGATACACCCTGAATATATGGATTGATTTTTTTTTTTCATTCACTAGAAAGTATTGAATAGGTTTGACATTTTCCCAAAACTCATAAAACCTTGAAAGGTTTCAAGTTGCTGAGGTGAATTCAATGAAGTCCATGGTTTAAAAGATAATGGAGTTTTATTCAATGTTCTGTAACTATGCATTTCTGAAAAGAGATATTTCCATAAGGACGAGATTTCCATTTGGAGCTATGATGGAAAACAGGGCTAGAGAGGGAAATTGTGGGGGAAAGTGAAGGGATGGGGGTGGGATGCTGTGAGGCAGGAGAAGCCCCTAGGGGGATTTATAAATGAACTTTAAAGTAAAGACCATTCATTGTGTTTTGAAAAGGGACGTAGAGGAACTGGGAGAATATAAATAATGGCTATGAGGTTCAATACAAAGCCCAGAAATAACCCACAACAATGATGTGGGGACAGCCTGGCAAGAGAGACCTTAAACAGAGAATTGGAAGATGCCGGGAGCAAATGGAAGAATGGGAGCAGGAGAGAGAATGCAGGGGCAAGGCGATTGTCTTGCCTGCAACTGGTCTGGGTTCTATCTCCAGCACCCCACTCTAATCACCATAAAGAGTGATCCCTGAGTGCAGAGCCAGGAGCAAGCTCTGAACACTGCTAGGTGTGACTCAAAACCCAAAAAAAAACCAAAAACAAATCAGAGAATGGAGTGAGAAAGACATGGGATGATCTTTACCCAAGATAAGGACTGCAGTGGAGAGAGTCTGGGGAGGTGTGGGGGCTGCCTGCAAATAGAAGTCATATGCTTTGCAAGGGGACAAGTAGCTGGTCAGGAGCTCAGAGACTTCCAGGACTCGAACTTTATCCGAGTTGCTATGTGAGCTCGTGAGCACCACACCTGCCATGGTTCCCACCCACTGCCAGAAGAAAGTTCACTCCAGTCCCCACATACCTGAGGGCAGCTGCTGATGGGAACACACTGCTTCTTGCGACACTCTGTCTTGCCTTTCACACAGGAGCAGATGGTGCAGTTGATTGAAGACCACATCTCTCCATCCTGTAGCAGGGGACAAGGGGTTGGTCAGCTGGAGGCTGATGGCATCAAACCAACAGTCTGGAAGGTCCCAATTAGGGACTGTCTCTCACTGTGCAGGGTCAACCAACAGTAGACTAGAGGACTCTTGATGTCTATACTCACCTGACTTTTGATAAGGATTCCATCAGAGAGAGGAAGGAGAAAGACAGATGCACAGACAGAGGGGGAGAGGGAGATAGAGAGAGAGAGAGAGAGAGAGAGAGAGAGAGAGAGAGAGAGAGAGAGAGAGAAGAGATCCATTCTCAAATGTACAGAAAAGAACATTTAACCAAACCAAATCATGATGCATCTCAATCCCTGTTGACTTCATTTCACTCTGGGAGACCCCAGTGCTGACTTTTCCAGCAGAAACATAGCACAACATTCTCCTTTTCCGTTTGACAGAACTGCAAAGTGTAAGCCATTGCAGGCACTAGCAGCTAATTGAGATGTTCGAAGATGTCTACTCCCAGATGTGTCATGGTTCCAGACCACACAGGACATGAATAGGCAAAGAGCAGAGGCAACTTCAAATGGCCCCCAGTATCCAGCAGATGCGTGATCAGCAAGTCATCTGAAAATGTGGCAGGCAGACACAGTGCTCCATAAGCCAATCAGATCACTGCCTGTCTGCCGCTCTCCTAAGAAATTCAGAGTCATTTTGGGACATGTTTCTGAGCCCAGAAAGCCAGTCTTGGGAATTTCTATGACTCGGTAGATTTATACTGGGCAACCACCAAAATCCCTGCACCTCCGAACCACACACAGAGATGTGCACCCTGGTTTCTGGAAGGCAAGATTATAGGTAATAGAGTTGGGTATGAAAACAGAACAAGGATTTCTTTGGGCTGGCGAATCCAAGAAATGGATATATTTGAAAACAAGCTTGGACCTTCAATAATGCCTCTATTTTCTTAATTTCTGAAGCTATTTTCAGCACTCCCTATTTGCCAATGCCTTTTAATTCTCAGGATAGAAAGAACTCACTGCAACTGCCTTGATGGACACCAGTTGGCAAGGTCCTGGGGTCTCAAAGATGACACTGCATAAATGATATCAGGTCTAACTCACTTAAGGGAAGTTCTGAATGGAACAGCCTAAAAACAATTTGCACACAGCATCACGGGGGCGGGGAAAGGGGGGCGTGGTGGGTACATGTCCTGGCTCCTGGAGAATGAAAGAGCTCTTTGTAGGAAAAAGAGCCTTGAATGGCTCTGAAAGACTCAAGAGATTCACAGGTGGCCCCTGGCCTAGACACAACTCCTTACGTTTTCTTACCGATTCTGTGGGAGCCAAGAGCTGTTCACCAAATTCTGAGGACTCAACACATCTGGCCAGAGTCTGAGTTCCCAGAGGTACCAGAAGATAATAAATGCCTTTGGGACAGAGAGATCCTCCTCCCGTGCTGAGGAAAACTGACACTGTGCAAAGCACTTTGGAGAAAGTCCATCAACTCCAAGCTGATGTTCCAAGTCCATCAACTCCAAGCCAATGCATGGCTTCCCATTATTGGTACCGGGTACATCATAGTTTACATAATTAATGTATACCACACCCGAGTACAACTACCACCTAGCCAGTTCAGCTGGGACAAGCCCTCACCTTAGCTCCATTTTGGTGCTGATCCCATATATCACAGAAAGCCCCATTCTGGTCATCTCCCAAGTGAGAAAATCTCTCTTGAAAAATGCAGGAGTATGAAAATTCCTCTAATTCATTCCTTTAAGCATGCAATTTGCCTATGAAATATCTAAAGTTGAAGATGAGGGTCAATAAAATATGACAGAGTAACTACCTGCCAAAGTCATCTGATTTAATGTTCAGAAGACATGATCTGGGCAAGAAGAGTCAACCTGTCCCCTTCGTCTGCCATTATATTCTTTGTAGCTCCAATGATTAGGTAGAACTATTCAGATCTTGGCTAGGATCCCTGAACATCTCCAGTGGAATGAGATACTCCAATTTATCCTGATAGCTATCACACCTCTATCTGGGGAGCGGGCACAATTTGTGTGTGTGGGAGGGGGGGTGTCTTGAGTCCTGCACCCAACTGCTAGGCACCACATTTATGGAAGTCAAGTAAATGCTTTATGGATTTAAACCAGTAAATAAAGCCCTCCCCCAAATCATTCTTCAGTTACTTCTCTAGCCCTGTGTGCATTTGTTTATATATTCAATATTGTATTATAATACCATTATATCTACACATTAGTGCATGTGCATATAAACTATGAAATAATCCAGTCTGTACTGCATCTGGAACTTTTCACAATGCAGTATAGACCAGTCTTTCCCAGGTGCTAGGCTTATGACATACCCGGAAAATCTTGTTGCCAAATTTGCACACTTTGATATCTTCTGGGGGAACTTGTAGGAGGCACTCCTCACAGCAGGCATCCTCAGCTCTGTCACAGCCACCAGGATGGGAACACTTCTTCTTACAAACCACAGTGGAGTCCTGGGGGCCCAAAGGCAAACTAGGAATTAGAACTGATTTTCAACAATTCTTCAATCTCATCTTCCTTGAGCACTCCACAACTGACTGTTTTAAAGCCTAGTCTGGTAATAGCACATTTTCATTTGTTGTTGCACTTCTCTCATTCCATTAAATCCATAATTTGCTGATCAGATATCTGAAGTAGAAAAATGAGGACCTCAGATAAAATGAATTAGGACAGTCTACTTGCCGAGATGTATAATTTAGTGTATAAAAGATATAATCTTCTCTGGCCAGAACAGGATGAACCCAACCTGCTTTCTTTATCTACCATTGCACTTTTTTTTTTACCTACCAGAGCACTTCATTCACAGTGCTCTCTTGGGTTACATTCGTGGCTCTCTGAGACCTTCTAGATATTGATTGCAAAGATAGACTGTATTCAGACTGGAGCAATGGCACAGTGGGTAGAGCGTTTGCCTTGCACGTGGCCAACCCAGGTTCAATTCCCAGCATCCCATATGGTCCCCTGAGCACTGCCAGGAGTGATTCCTGAGTGCAAAGCCAGGAGTTACCCCTGAACATCACTGGATGTGACCCAAAAAGAAAAACAAAGAAAGATAGGCTATATTTTACCACAGAGTAAAATTTAAGGGGCTTGAAAGTAAAAATATAGGGACTAAGGCAATGGCCTTCCTCTCAATTTGTCAACTCTTATTCAATCCCTGGCATTGCCAGGGATCACTCCTGTGCAGAGAGCAGAAACAGACCTTGGGAACTGCCAGGTATAGCCCCCAAACCCAGAAAAGTGAAAAAGAGCACACATTTGGAAGCAATATTTAACATCAAGCTGAAGGATATTTCAAGAAAGTTTTCTTTTGTCAAAGGCACTGAATCAACTATTCTAAAGTTGGACTTGATCTCTATGATTCTGCCAGAAATGGTATGACTTTAACCAGGCCACTGAACCTCTGATACTGGAAAGCTTAAATCTCACCATCCTCACCAAAGTGCTTTATTCTAAACTGGTGTTATACAACATTTTCAGTTAACTCACTTATAAATAATTACAAAATTCCCCGTATAAATCATTCTCTTCTTGTAGTACAAAACAAAATCACTGCAAATGGACAGGCTCTTTGAATATATGATGTGCACGCATCACTTTAAATTTTTTTTTAATTGAATCACCATGAGATACAGTTACAAGGCTTTCATGATTGAGTGTTAATCATACTGTGATCAACACCCATCCCTCCACCAGAGTACATTTCCACCATCAATGTCAACAGTATCCCTCCTGCAATACCCACCCCACATCACTCCCTACCTCTATGGCAGGCATTTTCCTTCTTAATCTCTCTCCACCTTGGAGTATTATGGTTTTCAATACAGATACCAAGATGTCATCATGTTTGGTCCTTAGTCTACTTTCACCACAGATCTCCCTCCCAACTGCTTCTTCCAACCATCATTGACTTAGTGGCCCTTCTCTATCCCAACAGCCTTCTCCCCCAGCACTTGAGGCAGGCTTCCATCCATGGACCAATCCTCCTGGCCCTTCTCTTTGGGTGTTAATCTCATAGTATGTTATATTCTCATACTATTTTATATTCCATAAATGAGTGCAATCATTCTACGTCTGTCCCAGTCTTTCTTATTCATTTCACTTAGCATGATAATCTCCATGTTCACCCACTTATAAGCAGATTTTATGGTTCATCTCTCCTAACAGCTGTATAGTATTCCATTATGCAGCTGTACCACTGTTTCCTTAACCATATGTCAGTTCTCAGGCACGCAGGTTGTTTCCAGATTCTGGCTATGAACTGTTGCAATGAACAAAGAAGTGCAGATGTCATTTCTACTGTGCTTTTCTTTTTGCACCCCCAGAATATATTACCAGAAGTGGTATTGCTTGTAAGGAAGCTCTACTTCTAGTTTTTTGAGGAATGCCCATATTGTTTTCCAAAAAGGCTGGACCAGTTGGTCCAGCCAACAATGAATGAGAGTCCCTTTCTCACTACGACTGCACCAGCACTGTTTTTTTTTGTTCTTTTTGATGTGTGCCAGTCTGTGGTGTAAAGTGATATCTAATTGTTGTTTTTATTTTCATCTCACTGATGATTAGTGATGTAGAGCATATTTCCATGTGCCTTTTGGCCATTTGTATGTTCAAAGAAATAGACTAAACACTACTGAAATTAATATGAAGAATAATCCCCCACAAATAGCTAAAGCAATCCTTAGGAAAAAGAAGATGGGTGGCATCACCTTCCCCAACTTCAAACTGTATTACAAAATAGTAGTAATTAAAACATAATAGTATTGGAATAGAAACAGAACCATAGACAAATGGAATAGAGTTGAATATTCTGACATAGACTCTCAAATACATGATCACTTAATCTTTGATAAAGGAACAAGAAATGTGAAGTGGAGCAAGGAAAGCCACTTCAACAAGTGGTACTTGGAAAAATAGACAACTACATGCAAAAATAAATGAAGTCAGATCTCTGTCTACAGACAGGCACAAAAGTCAGGTCAAAATGAATTAAAGAACTCAATGTCAGACTGAATCCATAAGGTACATGGGGGAAAATGTAGGCAGAACACTCCATGACACTGAATCTAAAAGCATCTTTAAGAATGAAAAACCACTGACCAAGCAAGCAGAAACAAACAGAAACGAATAGGACTACACTAAACTAAGAAGCTCTGCACCTCAAAAGGAACAGTAACCAAAATACAGAGAGAACCCAATGAAAGGGAAAAATTATTTACCAATACCCATCAGATAAAGGGTTAATATCTAAGATATACAAGACACTGGTAGAACTTTACAAGAAAAATACCTCCAACCCCATCAAAAAAGGCGGAGTAGAAATAAACACTTCAAATTTGTAAAGCCCTAAGATTCTTTCCTTACCAGCCATTAAACTTCAAGTTGCCTTTTAAGAAAAGTAAGTAATGCTTCAAATAAATACAATTTTCAAAGTAAAAAATAAACAGAATATGAATATCTTCCCCCAAACTACCAGGTTTATCTTTACCATGAACAGAGACAGAGAGATTCACTTCTGTCCCAAGAAGCTCAAGGCACAAAAGGCAAAAGAACATGCAAACAAATGAATTATATGGAAAAGAGATTTGGTAAAAGTAGAGAAGAGGGAGTAAAATCTGTATATGTTGAATTGGAAACTATCTCTGGAAGAGGTAAAATCTGAGGCTGTGTGAATGAAAAGGGATTAGCTCATTAAATTTGTAAAAGATGAGGACACTGCAGGTAGAGTAAACATCACAAGAACCTCAAACCAGGCTGTGTTCAGAGTAAAGTAAGTAAAGTAAGTAACTGTGTTCAGAGTATGAAGTATTATTAATACTTCACTTAGTATTATTAATTACTAAGTATTATTCTGCACCTGTAACAGTTTTGGATGTGGATGCTGAAGAGTGAAGCTTGAGGCAGACAGAACATAACACTGATCATCCAGTGAAATTGCAGTCTGATTCTTTAAGCACCCATAACCTCCCACAGATGACTGCAAAATTCATTTTCTGATAAAACAATCCCTTGAAGGGAAAGTATTAATTTTACTTATTATAGAAACTTGGAACTTATTGCCTAACAATTTCTAAAAACGTTCATGTGAACAAAATATTGCAAGCATAATTACTTCCCCTTGGTAGGATGCGTGACTCTCTTGCAATTTAGAGAACTGGAAATTGATGTGGTTCTTCAGAGTCCTCACAAGGAAGCTTATAACCTGTGAAATTCCCAGAGGGAAGGGAAACCCCGAGGTTGAAGGCCAAGGAAAACGGAAGGAGTGGCTTTGTTTCTCATAAGACATAATACAAACCATAACAGAGAGTAAGGAGCCTCAGGACAATCTTCCTGGACTTAGGAATTCTTCAGTGTTCAGAGCCAAGAAACAGACAGCTCTTCTCTAACCCAGCCACCTCCCTGAAACAGTGCATGCTACTTAGCAAAGCTTGTCTCAAGTAATCAAGAACTTCTGACTTGTATTTCCAGCTACTGACTCATACTGACATTGAGCAAAGCTCATCTCTTTTCCTCGCTAGTCCTGTAGCTATTATAAATGACAGAACCATCCTCACCGAAATGCACTATTCTAAATTGCTGTCATACAACCTTTTCAGTTGACTCACTTATGAATTATCATAAAATCCCCCCATGAGTTATTTTCTTCTTGGAGTAAAGACAAAAATCACTGCAATTAGACGGGCTCTTTGAATATATGATGTATGTGTATCTCTTACAGCTCTAAAGCCATGAGAGTCTTTCCTTACCAGCCATTAGACTTCAAGTTGCCTTTTGAGAAAAGTAAGCAATGCTTCAAAAAATTAAAATTTTCAAAATACAATGAACTTTTTTCCCCCAAACTAACAAGTTTATCTTTGTCATGGAAAATAATCCATGCCTTTCTTTTCTCTTGAATGTGGTAAAAGTCTTTTGTTGTTGATTTGGGAAGCACACAGACTGGTGCTCAAGGCTTAATCCTGGCTCTATGTTCAAGGATCACTGCTGGTGGGGCTCAGGAAACCATATATGGATTCAAGGATTGAGTCTGAGTAGGCCTCATTCCAGGCAAGCGCCCTACTCGCTGTACTATCTTTCCAGCCCCCCAAATCATTTTTATTGCCAAGTGTGGTCAGAGAATTCATCTTGGATAATTAGAGCCATAAAACACTATCATGGGCACTTGTCTGATTTTAGAAAGTTTGTCCCAAAAGCCCTTCCAGAGGTTACTTCTCACTACCAAGAGTAACTTGCTAGATCAGGGAAGATGACAGTGAGACTTGATCTGGGTTTCCTGGTCAATGTTCCCTGGGATCCTTCTGATACATTTACTCATAAGGAACCATTAATAATGACTCCCCAATGAAGAGCAACTTCTTATGGGTGACTAGTGTTAAATGACACCCCAAACCCCATCCTTGTTGGGCCACAGCCCCTTGAATCATTTACCTTGCAAGTGCAGGCAGTGCAGTTGTCGAAGAGAAAGGAGGATCCATTATCATAAACATCACTGCGAAAGAGGCAGCTTCCAAAGGGGAGGTCAAATACTTTCCTCTGCCCTAGAGAGAAACAACAACATGGGGTGAGCAAGACCAACAGCAGCAAAGTCATCAGCAATTATGTCTCAGAGCTGCCATGCAGTCTCAGAAGATTAGGGAAATACGGTGCCCAAAAATAGAGCCGTAGATCAGATATTCCCAAGAGATCACCAGGAGTCATTAACTTAGAATATCTTTGTCAAAAAAAAATTTTAAAAAAGTGATTCTATTCCACACTAAAACTTGTGAGCTTGGCAAAACTTGACACTCATCTAGTGAACCAAGACAACCAACTTGAAGACCTGCCCTAAGGGAGTTTCACAGTCTACTGAGAAGACAGACCCACAAAAGATCATTTCCATAAAACAACATGGTGATTTCTAGAATGTTCTTAACCCAGACATAGTGGGACAGGAAGCCAGGGAAACTTCTGGGAAGACATGATGTCTGAGCTGCATTTAAAAAAAAAAAAGAAAAATTATCCATGAGAGGAATATTGTCAGAAAGGAAGCAGGAGGAGTTAATATGGCCAAGAGAGCCCCAGGCAATGAGTCAGAGGCTCAAGTGGCTGTCTGGCAAGCATGAAGCACAGAGTTCAATTTCAATCTCACCATGTTATTCAAGATTCCTGACACTGTCAGAGAGAGTGAACCCCAACCAGTGCACCACAAGTCAAGTGGGTGAGAGCACCTCAAGTAAAGTTTGTCTCCCTCAAGTCCCCCCACAAAACCCCCTCCCCGACCCCATCGCCTGAGAGCATTGCAACCACACAGTGTGCAACCCCTGATCATTACAACAGCAGCAATGAAGGGAAAATAAGGGATTGGGAGAAGAAAGAAAGGAATCCCAAGGAGTAGTAAGAAGAACTAATAATGAAATAGAAGCTTAATAGAAGCAATAACAAGTCTAGTCACAGAGGGGTGAGGCTCACTTAAGGAGTGCACAGATGTACATGTGAGCTCCATATGCCAAGTAAGTAGTCTTTCATAGGTCATACCCCTCTGTAGTTTGGTTTTCTCTGAAGCAAAGATTTAATTGGTGCTCCAAAAGTCAAAAAAAAAAAAAACTCCAAGTGAATAACATCTAATTTCATCCTGTCAGTATCTGAGTTACTCTGGAGCACATGAAAACATCTTTGAAATGTTGCTTTAATTAAAAAACAAATTAAGAAGTCAAAGATTCATGTTCACTCATAAGAGTTATATCCACTACCCTTTTTCTTCTTGTAAAGAAATAAAGGGATCTCTATCAGTAGGACAGATGAAATGTTGAAAATACATATAAACACATAGTAAACACTGTTCTCAGAATTCCTGGGATTACTGTTAGTGGGAGTCAAGATAACTATTTTTTTCCTGTCACAGTCTATCTTATAACTAAATCATTAATTAAATCATTAGTGTGATTCTCATTACCAGCAGCAAACTTGCTGCTGGTTCTCAAAATATGATAACAAATGATAATTCACGTGCAACATATGAAATCCCTAGAGACTCTGAGTATAATCTCTCTAGGCCTCATTTACTTCAATATTAAAATAAAATCAGTAATACCTCTCCTGGGCTGGAGTGATAGCACAGTGGTGGGGCGTTTGCCTTGCATGCAGCCAACATGGCCGACCTGAGTTCGATTCCTCCGCCCCTCTCGGAGAGCCCGGCAAGCTACCAAGAGTATCTCGCCCACACATCAAAGCCTGACAAGCTACCCGTGACGTATTCAATATGCCAAACACAGTAACAACGAGTCTCATGATGGAGATGTTACTGGGCCCGCACGAGCAAATTGAAGCACAATGGGAGCACCGTGCTACTGTGCTAATACCTCTCCTAAATAACATATAATAATCTCTACCACAATACTGATATTAACATATACAACTAATAAATTTTAAACTACACAAAATTTAACAAAATGACTGTATTTGCACCTGGTATCAATAGTTATTATTAAAACAGATACTCATGCATACATCCACGTCCAAAGTCTCTTAAAGTCTTGAGAATTTATAACATGAATCAAAAGATTATCTGCAAGTCACAAAATTTCCTTTTACCTATTTTTTTCCTCTATGAAACCACACTAAAACTATTCTGATGTCTCAAAGACCTATGGATAGGCCAGATCAAGGGATTTGGTTTATCCCCACCAAAATCACTTCTGTCACATACCTTAGTTTTAGGACACGCTAATATAAAAATTTTATTTATTGCAAAAATAAAAGTGAAGTCAATCTTCAATGACTCTCTATAATGTCCTTTAGACTACTTTATCAGAACTTTATTTGTATTGTTAGAGAATTAAAAATAGTTCTTTTTCAGTTGAGCAATTTTTAAAATCTATAATAATGTAATTTTCCTTTTCTTCTCTTATCTACATGTGTTTTATATGTTTGGAAAGTGTCCTTTTTGACAAAAGACAGAGTATCAATAAGTATGTAAAATTAGTCATATGTAGAGTTGAATTTCATATTGCCTCTTCTCAAGAAGGTGTTTGAAAAAATTATTGAAGTTCTCCCAAAGGAAAGGGATTAGAGAATTCTTGTTTTGTTGGTTTTATCCACTGGACTCTTCCAAACCTCTCATTTGTTTCCTCTATCCCAGGCATGCCTTGGTCTCCACAGGATTCTGTTCTTCTTAGGTGACCTCCGCACCAGAGTCCAGCCTACTGACTGTCAGAGTCCATGGAACATGATCCTCCCTGTGAAGGGCAGTCCTAGGACATCACTGCACCAGTTTCCAGTCACAGGAGATAAGATGGACAAGAAGTAAGCCCCAGAAGGACACAACATACAATCATGTCTCAGAAGCTGACCCTATCCACCAAGTTCTCTCACCCAGGACAACTTGAGATCTCTAAGACGGCACGTGAAGACCCCGCCTCAGCTCAAACTCTTTTCTGGACCTGAAAGCAGTAACTCACCCAAACATTTGGGGCAGCACTGTCCCGGGGGGACATGGCTCAGGTGCTGAGGACAGGAGAGAATGGGGCAAACTTCTCTCATGCACTGCGTCCGGCCGCCCTGGAGGAAAGTGGGAAAAGCACATTTAGTAAAGTGAGGGCAGTCACGTGGATTCTGAATCCAGGTACCACAGCAAGCCCTGGGCCCTCCCTGCTGTTTGGTCCTGGAGTGGCTGCTCTGGTTGCGAGTTTCTCCCAGTGGGGCTTGTCTCTTCCCTGTAGGTCAAAGGAACTGTCCCAAAAACCAGCCTACTGCTGAAGAGCCGGTGATTTCACCTCTCCTCCACCCACCACCACTTTCATCTTTTTCCTTTTCAAGACCAGCCAGTCTTCTCGGTTTGCCTGGGATTTAAGAGTTTTAGAACTAAAACCAGGAAAATCTCTAGCAATCCAAGACACACTGGCCTCTCTTTCCAGCCCCCAGGCAAGCAAAGAATGTCTGAGTTTTGCTAAGACTTCCCTCCTCTTTCACACCTTCATGCAGGCCCAGCCAACATCTGCCTCGAGATAGACTGCCACTTTCTACCTCAGATAAGAGTCTGCTGAGTGTTGAGTGTCTGAGAGATGGATCAGTGGGTGAGCACAGGCTATGCATGGTGGGTCCCCTGGGTACCTTTGGGAGCAGCCCTTGAGCACTGAGTCACAGAGTAGGCCTGCACACCACTGAGTGAGGCAATAAAACCAAAGAAAAGGAAAGTTATTCTAAGATGTGTCATCAAGGTTCAGGTTAGAGAACGTAGCTGAGATGCTGAAAATTCACCTATTAAACGCCATTTCATTGCACTTCCCAAGTCACCAAGAACTGAGTACAAGGTCTATGTAGTCTGGTACTGAAAGAATTGGCAGTGACTTGGCCCACTTCTAGAATCTTCCAACTTTTTTTTTTGTCCCTTATACTTGACCTTTCTATCCTCTGACACCCCTTCCTCCCCTCAGAGCAAAGCTTCTATTTTCCAGCCCTTGGCAAGTTTTAACTGAATCTTCAGAAAGCTGGGACAGGAAAAAAGTGCTTCCCTGTCCATTTACCAACTTTGAACGGCTGATGTAAAAATTACTCTGTACACTATAAACTGCTATCAGATTTAGGAATGATTTTTTTTCTCTCTTTAGAAAATAAAATCAGTAAATTTGGTTAAATTGGTCACTGGGAAATTTTTTTCAATAGGTTGAATTCTCTGGGACTTGAGTTAAATATCAAAGGAATAGACATGGTCTCAAGTCAGTCATTTATACCTAAGGAGGTCTCAGGAAATGAGGAGTTCATGCCTCAAAGCGCTCTGGGCCTCTCCTGGGAGCGATTCCATCTGGGCATTTCCTCACCGCCTCACTCCCAGCACAACGCAGCTGTAGGCCTGTCCACTCCATCCCTGGGGAACTGCTCAGGCCTTTCGCTTCTCTTCCCTTCTGTCCTTGCCGCCTGCATCCTAAGAGCCTATTTTTTGGTGGGGTTTGATGAATAGAGTGGGGCACATTATGACATAAATATTTTTAAGCCTCCTTAATGTTACATTTTTCTCCCAAAGTAACAGAGAACGTGCTAAAAATCCTACCCAAAGACTCTTCTCTTGCCTTTATGCGATTTCCAGGTCAGCAAGAATTACTTAAAAAAAATTCCTAACATTCTCTGCTGGCCTCTGTGAGGTTTCTTACTCAACTCTTCATAATCCACATGTCAGGGGTTTTCTGCACTCTTGAGAGACGTATAACTAGAGTTCATGTCAGACTCAGATCAGTCCTGGCTTAAAAACTGTCACTGTCACTGTCCTCCCGTTGTTCATCGATTTGCTCGAGCAGGCCCAGTAACGTCTCCATTGTGACAGCTGTTACTGTGTTTGGCATATCGAATACATCACGGGTAGCTTGCCAGGCTTTGCTCTGTGGGAGAGATACTCTCGGTAGCTTTCCAGGCTCTCTGAGAGGGGCGGAGGAATCGAACCTGGGTCAGCCAGGTCACCTGGGCGCAAGGCAAACACCCTACCTGCTGTGCTATGATATGAGGGTGATCTGGCTGCAACACCTGTCACCGCATTGATCACCAGTGTTGACTCGGCTAATCTGGCAGGTGTCCCCTTCCTTTCTCACCACTCCACATGCATCCCTCCTGAAGCTATGCGCTCAGTCAAATGGAAGGCCTTCCCCGAATAAAGATGGACTGGTCTTAGGTCAAGGGTATAGTAGCTGTGCTCCCCTGCTAGAACCTCCAAACAAGCTCTCAAGGCTTAAAAACACAAGATTCAAATCCAGAGGAAGTGGGGGATGGTCAGACTGAAGCCCTTAGCTTTTCATTTGAAACAAATTTATCTGCAAGCAACTTCCTAAAATCTAGAAGCCTCTGGAGACTGCTAGTGTGTTGACTCCTCTAGATGCCCAGAGAACATACTATTTCCATCCATGTTCTCTGTTCTTATTGGGTCAGCATCTATTTTACAAGCATTTTTTTAAAATTAAAGTTTGTTTTGCATATTGCATAGAAGTTAACTTGTCCAAAATTCTGGAAAGCTGGCAAAAGATTATGTATACTCGAGTAATTTTCCTTACAAAAAGGTCAAAGAGCAAATTTCACATACATAATACAACTGCAGTATGTCTTTCCCTAGAGTCTGCTAAAGTAACTTGAACTCCAATCTGGGTTTGCTGGGTTAGTCAAGTTTTATTTTGTTTGGGCTGCAGTATAGTGGCATAGCCCAAGTCCGGAGGCTGTATTCCAATCAATGCCTCCAAAGAAAGTCTCAGCCCTTTTGGATTACAACCTGCTTCTGTGATTTCAACTCAGCAGGCAGGAACTCTTCTTAAACTTTAAGTTACAGCAGCATTGTCAACTGGGAAAGTTCAAAGGCAGGAGTAAACATTTTTGTTTCTAAAACATGGCTCATTCCTACTATAACATCCCTAACTCAGACTCTACAGACTATTACAATAGCTAATTGGCTTCACTGGTTCAACCTCATCTAGTAGTACATCTTGGAAGGCTTAGTATGTCCAACAGCTATTGTTTACTTCATTGATCAAACACTGGGTTAAGGCTTACTTAACCATAAAGCAGTAAGGCCAACATAAAAATTACTTCCTTTACAGAGTTAAGATTATAGTGATCTTGGCCCATCCTGCTAAGATGATGATTAGGGATGAAGTTCAACCCACTCAGGCGAAAAGTCAATGTAGAAGTAGCTATGTGTTCAATGAACTCTCTCTCTCATTATATTTCTCTTCCTTTCTTTTTCTCTTTTTTCCCCTTGTTTACCCTATTTCTTCCTTTCTACACAGAGAATCATATTTTTCAATCTCCTTTAAAGTCAAAGGTGATGAAATGACTAAGTTCTAATCAATCTGAGATAGATGAAAACATATGACATTTCTAAATCTAATTCATAAAAGTCTCTTATGCTCCTGTTCCACTTTCTCACTGTACTGCATTCAGCTGAATGAAAGCAACTTTAAGGAGCTAGAAAAAGTAGAAAGTGTTTGGTTACCTGAGCACCATATGGAACTTTACCAACCAACCACCTAAACCAATTGTTAAATGAGCAACTTCAACTCTATTACAAGAGTTAAACTACTTTATAAGTTTTTTTAAGTTTATAAGTACTCTATAATCTCTCCAATCTACCTCCCCATACTCCAACTCCAGCATAGAGAGAGGATCACAGCATATTTTATTCCTTTATCATTTTTGCCTTCCATGTTGCCATGTTACTTATCTCTCTCTCTCTCTTCCATTCCCATCTTTTCCCCAATGGAAATCCTGCATCACTTAAGACTTAATTCAATTGTCTTCTGATCTGTAAAATTCAGCATATACACATCTACTTACCTTTGTATCAGCTTCAACTTAGTAGGAGATAGATATCTGTCTGTACCAATATTTCAAAATTGAAAAACTCAACTTCTACTTGTAAATATGGTTGAATTCCCATGATCTCATGTTAAATATCAAAAAAATTCTAAATGATTAACAAACATTGGGACAAAAGACACTATTTTCATTTGGCCAATAGGAAAAGTATGCCAGGACTTTGTGTTATAATTTGCACAATTTATCTTTCCTTAAAAAGACGAGTGTGCACTTCATTTTTTAAATTTTAATAGAGTTTTTTGTGGGGCTATACTTTGTGGTGCTGAGGTCTACTTCTAGCTCTGTGCATGGGGCAATCATGGAGTGCCAGAGATCAAACTTGAATCAGCAGCATGCAAGGCAAATACCTCATCCCCTGCATTATCTCTTTGGCCCAAGTCTATATTTTAGAGGTAAGTTGCACTAATTTCATATCAAGTGTTTCTTCAAAAGCAGCTGTTTTAAATGAAAGATGAAATCATTTAAATCATTTAAAGCAGGCTATCATCATCATCATAAACATGCAACCTATCCCATGTCTATTCGCTGCCAAACTTTTAAAATTTTCATTAATCCAGTGATGCACACAAACTGTGTGTCAGTTTACCCCAGAGAAACAGGGTTTTTCTGCATAATAAAAACTGATCTTCCTGAATATAGTGACGAGTGCAAGTGGATAAAACCATAACATGTGCATGTAGGATGCTTCTCACATCCGAGAGATCCATTGAGATTAGTGGCTAGAAACTGTCCTAGAGCATGTGACATACACTTGCTCAGCTCCCTAGCAGCAAGATGAAAGTAAATACCTGCACCCCTAAGCAGCAGCAACCAGTCAACTCCACTGAGTTACATTCTAGGGTTACATTCTAGAGCAATTCTCCCTCAATATATATCTCTTATGGCTTTCTCCATTAATTCTAGATGAAGGTGTGGAAATGAGAAAAAGAAACCAGAGGGCTTACCTTAAAGGAAAAATATATTCTGCATGCAAAGGGTTTACGTACGGTTCATAATTGTCACAAGTAGGAGGTAAAAATAAATGGCTTGTGCCAGAGCACCCACTACAAAACACTACAGGGCATCCAAAAATTATTGGACTTTTTTTAGGCTTCATAAAATGAAATTATACCCTTCTACATGTTTCTCTTTGGCCTGGAACTTTGTCTTGATCAATTTTCAGAGCATCACAGTTATTTCAAGGGAAAAGATTTTGGTACTCAGCCTAG